AAGTCCCCATAAATTTAAGAATATACAAGTCAAATAAAATTTGTCCTTTGAATACAACAGAAGTAAATTAAAAATCAATAGACACTTGAAAGTGCCTAAATATCGCCAGGAAACACAAGAGGAGACAGACATGATGGGGCTGGAGGGAACCAGTAACTGGAGAAGGACCTGCTGGACTAGGACAATGGGTTACTGAACATGGACCCCCAAGTACAGGAGAAAGGGAAAATAAAGCAGAAGGGGACACCACAGGACAAACAGTGTATGAAACTGTGAGAAGACCAGGAGAATATCAGCCTGCACCTCAGGAAGACCACACTGCAACATCAGACGAAGATCAAGCAGCAGCTGCAGCTATGAAAAAGGATATGAGGAAGACAAGTAGGTTGGTGAATAAGGTGATGAAGATGATGAGGAGGAGGATGACAATGAAGATAGAGAAGGAAATCTTCCTTCAGCAAAACTTGAAAAGATACAACCCTAGCTCAGAGGATTTTTCCCCAATAAACAGAAGACAACTGCCATGTCCATGATTTTATGATATGGCAATGGGATAACAGGAGGGCAAAGAGGTTGATGAATAACATGACAAATGTGATGATGACGATGATGAAGAGGATGATAATGAAGATGGAGCAGGAAACTCCCACCAGCAAAACTTAAAAAGATACCTGTAACGGAAGTTTCGATTTCCTTTAAAACTCAATTATGGTATGTAAACATGTTTTTGTTATAATCTCAACTGTGGGATTTTAGTTTGTCCACGGCTGATCACTGCCTCATGCAGGGGTGTGGCCTTTGCCAGCAGAAGTTAGTTGAATTCTGAGGACTTTGAGGGGTATAAACATAATAGCCCAGAGAAGAAGGGGCGGCAGCTTGGAGAAGGCGGAGACAGAGGACTGTTGGCTGCTTTGCTGGTTACCTGGACTTCTGGGTATCCTGACTGAAATTGGTACTGGCCCAAAAAGAATTCTATGACCCTAACCAGCTAAAAGAAGTAAAGAGGTCTACATCCCCTTCTCCCTCCCAGCCTTGTTTTTCCCCAACCTAGGGTTGAGGGGTTGGAAGGTAGGTATAAACTTTTAGGAACCCCCAAATAAAGTAGCGTTTGAAAAACTAGCCAACAGGTAGCGTCCAGACATGGCTAGCATAATGGGAAACTTCCGTACAAAGGAATTAACGTACTGTTTCAAGATGTCAAAAAAGAAAAAGAAAATGACTAAATAAAAGTACATAATACATTTCTAAATAACCTAGGAACCGAAAGGGAAGTCAAATGGAAAATTTTTAAAGTATTTAAGTTGGAATGAAAATAAAAATGCAGTATGTTAAAATCTATGGGATGTAGCTAAATTACTACTGAGTATGAGCTATATAGCAGCAAGTGCTTACATTAGAATAAAAGATCTCTTTAGGTGTACAGATTTTAGTAGGTTTATCCTATATTATATGTCTATATGAGTGAGTATATATCGTGTGCATCTTTCTGCTTCTGGGATAGCTCACTCAGGATGATCTTTTCCAGATCCCACCATTTACCTGCAAATTTCATGATTTCCTTGTTTTTTTTGCTGAGTAATATTCCATTGTGTAGATATACCACAATTTGTGCATCCTAAAGAAACTAATTAAGAGGGAGGACTCTTGCTAAAATGCTCAATTCCTATCCAGAAAGGCAACAAGGCTGGACATCAGAAGAAGAAGAAAAGAGGGAACAAGTCAGAAGCCTGACACAGAGGACCTTTAAAAAGCTCTGCCCTGCAGACTATCAATGTAGATGCTAAGACTTATGGGCAACCTTTGGGCAGAGTGCAGGGAATCTTAGGAAAGAAGCGGGAAACAGTAAGATCTGGAAAGGACAGGGACTCCACAAGGAGAGCAACAGAACCAAAAAATCTGAGCACGGGGGTCTTTCCTGAGACTGATATTCTAACCAAGGACTATGCATGGAGATAACCTAAGACCTAAGGAAGGGAGGAAGGAAGGAAGGAAGGAAGGAAGGAAGGAAGGAAGGAAGGAAGGAAGGAAAAAAGGAAAGAAGGAAGGAAAAAAGGAAAGAAGGAAGGAAGAAAGAATAAAAGATCTCAAATAAATCACTCCAAATCTCAGAAAACAAGAGCATAAAAACCCAAAATAAGCAGATAGTAGGAAGTGGTAAACAGAACATGTCAGTAAAAAGAAAACATCAATGAAAGTAAAATGCCAATTCTTAATGAAATCAATAAAAAGCGATCAGTTTGTACCTATTAGGAGAAAATAGCAAAAGAAAAAATTACCAATATCAGAAAGAGGATGTAACTGTAATTCTATGGAAAATAAAGGAATAAAGAAATATGAATGATACATCAAAAATCCTTAAAAAAAAAAAAAAAGAATAGATTCCAATTTAGAAAGCTGCCAAGGCTCAGTAAGAAGAAACATGCAAGCCGCGCAGCCCTAGCCCTGGCGAAGAACTGACTTAAGCCTTCCCTAGATAAAAGTATTTGGGGTTTTATTGTCCTACATAACATTTTCCAAAAACGTAAATGAGGAGGGAACACCTTCCAGTGTATTTTTCAGGTCAGCTTTGCACAGACAGTGAAAACAAACATGGCCATTATAAAAAAGGAAAACTAGAAATCAATTCATTCAGTAAAACACATAAAATATTGCCAAAACTTTAGCAAATTGGACCTGAAAGCATATAAAAGCATAACACATCATGACCATGTAGAATTTATCATAGAAATGAAAGATCTGTTTAACAACTTAAAAGCAATCAGTGCAATCTGCCAGAAAACAAATGTGAAAATCACATGAACAATGCTGTCAAGGCATCTGACGAAGCCTTGGACAGAGGGTCTGTCCGCTCCTCGGATTCTGTACAGAGTCTGTATCTTAGGCTGTGCTGCTTCTTTTAAACGAAGTCTGCTGGAGTCCTTCAAATGTCTGTTAAATACATTTTGATTTAATTTAAATGGACTTTATGTGTATGGGTGTTTTGCCCACATGCTTGTCTATGAGCCATTTACATGCCTGGTGCCCATGGAGGTCAGAAAAGGACATCAGATCCACTGGATACCAGAGTTACAAACAGTTGTGAGCCACCATGTGTTTGTCGGGAATCAAGCCTAGGTCTTCTGAAGTGAACCCGTGCTTTTAAATGCTGAGCATCGCTTTATCCCCATTTTGACTGGCTTTGTACAAAAAATACATAAAAGAAAAAGAAAAGAAAACAGCATATTCAAGTCTTTTCTCTGTTTATATATTAGATTGCTTCCTTATTGTTGAATTACAAGTTAAATATTTTAGATATTAATTTCTTACATATTTATGATTTGTAAATCTTTCCTCCCATTCTTTGGGTTATCTTTTCACTGATTGTGTTCATAGAAGAGTAAATTTTAAATTTCAATGAATTCCATCTTGTATATTCTTTTTGCACTTTGATTTTAAAAATCAAATCTGAAAAACCTAATACAAAATCACGAAGAGCCACAGCTGTGCTCTCTATTAAGAGTTTATTTATAGCTGGTAAAGTGAGGGCTTTGCCCGGAGTGAAGTTTGTATTGTGGTTATATATGCAGCAGTCTAAGTTCTTTCTTCTACACATGGATACATTGCTGTCCCAACACTGTATGATCTTCCCCCATTGTCCTAGAATCACTGTCAAGAATGAGTTGGCCACACTGAAAGGGATTACTTCTGTCCTCTCAATTCTACTACCCTGATCTACATGTCGAGCCTTAAAGCAGACTCACTCTATATGGATCACAATAATTTGGCAGTAGGTTTGGAGGTTTGAGGCTTTCAGCTTTTCCAAGATTATTTTGCGCATATATTTCTTATATTTCTACATGAATTTTAGAACCAACATATCAATTTCTATTTTAAAAAACCCAGATGAAAATGTGCTCAGTCTCAGTCTACCTAGGAGTATAGCCATCTAAACAAGATTGTCTGCTAACCCATAAATGTAAATCTGCTTTCCATTAATTTTTGTCTTCTTTAATGTTTTTCAAAAATTACTTTGTTAGTTTTCACTATATGGGATTTCCATCTCATCTTCAAATTGCTAACTGCTAGTGTACAGCAGTTAGACACTGATGCTGCATCACGTAGCCTCTCTGAGTCCATGCACTTGTTCTTATACTTGTCTAGAGATATCCTTACGATTTTCTACAGGAAAAGCCACATACAGATGGAATGATTAGTCCTCCCTTCACAATTCAAATACCATTTTATTTCGTATTCACTTGTTTAGTGGCTGACTGAATTAATATTTAAGTAAAATATTTCCCCTTCTCTCATATTTATATAATCAAACCATATGTGAAGTATCATGTTCAGTCCAAATTTAAAGAATACTAACAAACTAAAGCATGTAAAGGGATGGGAAAGATGTCAAAATGACAGAAAAGTCTTAAGACATTAAAGATGATTTACATAAAAAATTAGGCTATAAGCACACAAAATATGTAGCTGCTATTCTGTTTCATCTGAGGAAGGTGACACACCAGTAGCATTATATGGAAGCAGACATGAGCATAAGCCACAAGGGAATTTTTTAAAGAAGTAGTCCAACAATAGCATACTGTACTTTTATGACACTGTCAGGTTTCCATCTTAAGGAAAAGTTTTATCCTGTCCCTTGTGTGCTTTCTTTGGGAGGGAAGATCTGAGTAGATTAACACTGCAACAATCTTAGTTTCTCTTGCAGTCAATACTCCTATATTAAATACAACCATTTCATAGAATGGAAAGTACTTCTCAGACCTACAAACAGTTTTAGAAAGATGTTTACAAAAAACACGAATATTTTCTTAGCAAAAAAAAAAAAAAATCTTCTGAAATTGTCTTCTGAAAGTACTTTATACTTCAGTAGCCTACTTCATAAACTGGGAAAATGGGTTGCTTTGAACTTCCATATTCTCATGTAGTTGAAAAAGCAATTCATTTTCAAGAGTTCCTCTGTTATCTTTTAAAAAAAATTAACAAAATAATTGAGATCCAGAACTCACCAGAAGATATCTTACCAGCACCTTTATAGTCAACAGAAAATGCAGATGTGACTCCATTGGCTGATCCCAGTTCACACATTGGGATTTGATAAGGGGGCCTCAGCTTGATTTCCATCTGCATGTCAGACAAATTTATTTTTGTTGAAAGAGACCTGGGATTATTATATCGCTGCTTGGTCCTCTGAATGAAGTTATCTATGTAAAATAAAAATAAATTTCCTTGCAGTCATTTGTTAATTAAATTTGAGAGTGTGATGTTTATGGACAAAAATTTTATAAAGTTTGTTATTCAAAACTATTCAATTTATCATGGGATTTCCAATATTACTTATATTTAAGGGGTTGCTGTATCATGAAGTCATCAGTTTTACACTCTATATACTAAACTTTAGAATGAAGTTACTATAACCAAAGGCTACCTAACAATAGACTTCGAGGAATTACAAAAAAAAAAAAAAAAAAAAACAGAAAGAAAACAGCTTTAATTGTCAACCAATACCTTAATTTTTATATCCTTATCTCACAAAATATTCGATCTGTTATTAGTTGTAATTACATACAAATTATACTATAAGCAATGAGTTTTTATAAATGTTTTATTTTTAACATCATTAGATAGTATGTTCTGAAAAGTAAGTTTAATAGAATCAATAAAAGAGATTTCCTAAATATCTTCCAAGTAGAATTTTATTTTTACTATTTCCCTTCTTTCTATATAAAGAAATCCATAACTTTGACCAGACTTTTCTGGTTGAGCAAACTACTGCCCATAGGCCAAATATAAACTGCTGTTTTTGTAAATAAAGTTTTATTAGACAATAACTATACTCTTTCATTTATGTATTGCCTGTGGCTGCTTCCAAGCTGCAGCATCAGAGCTGAGAAGTTATGGCAGAGACTGGAAGGCCCTTAAAATTTGAAATATGTACTCTCTGATCTTTTCCAGCAAGTATCTGCCAACCCCTGCTCTACATTAAGCAGACTATAAAAGATTAGCACATAAACACAAAACGGAGTCTGTGGCTTGTAAATTTCTCATTGAGAATCTGTCCTCTGGGATTCTTTCTCTGGACTAATAATCACAATCTCCTTCACAGTTCAAACACATTTTTTTTTTTTCCTAGTACACATCCAAATTAAGAATTTTTTTTTCCTTTTGCCTTATTCTATCAAAATCAAGGTTGCAGAAGTTTCTCCCCTACTCTCCAAAATTATTAGATGAAAAATTGTTTGACTGGAGACAGGATAATTAAAAAGTCAAAAAAGAACAAAACAAATAAAACAACAACAAAAGGCCCTTACCAAATTCAATGAAACAGTATGGTCTGACAGCAGTATTTGTCTTCATCATGTTATAAGTAGTAATGAACTCCTTCTGAAGCTCATCCAGGAAAGAGAAGGCGAGAACATTTGGATAATTTTCAGTGCACAACATCATGTAGCTCACTCCCAGAGAGCTAATAAAACTACAGTGTAAAAAACATTGGTTTTAAAATTTCAAATTAAATCAATGTTATTCGTTGCTTCACAAGACTGACTCTATATACCGTAAACTGCTGCTATAGTAGCAATGACGATATTAACATTTATTACACATTCCAGCAACAACTTTAAAGGCACCAGCATCTAATACTATCTAAAGCTATGGATGTTTAAGAAAAAAGATACCCTATACTAATTTCAGCTGCTCCTCATGGAGCAGAAAGCAAGGGGAAAAGCACGTATGTAAGCATTCAAGCAGCTTAAAGCCAGCCCTCCACAAAAACAGGTGGAACTATATACTCAAGTCAAGAACTGTTCAGAAAGATCTGGTCAGAGTTATGGACACTAATCCTAGAAAGATACAACAGATTTAGCAAACAGCCTCAGGGTGGTTACCAATCTCTTGAAGTCATTATTGATTCAGGAATCAAATCTTTTACATTACAACATTGATGAGGAAAGAAACTGTATATATCACTGGTGTAAAAGGGGGAATTTTTTTTTTCATTCATAACAATGACAAACACAGAAAGAGAGAGAAAGGAGCATGGCTTATAGCAAAATGCTAAGCACTGCCTAGTTGGAGGAGTGCTGGACTCGGGGGAAAAAAAAAAAGCCCACAACTTTAAAGCCAACATAATAAAAACTGTATCAGACAAAACGATCATGAATATTAAATTTAGAAGGAAATTTTGTGGTGCACTAACATATTTTCAAGGCATTAAGATGTTTTCCAATACACTGCTTTTTAGTTGCAAAAGGAAATTATATAGTAGAAAGAAGAGAACATGTTGACCAAGTATTCTAATATCAGTAATGAAGGACAGGTGGGTGGACAGCATGCATCTCCATGTGTGACATCATAAAATATCACTTGTCCTTATTCCCACTGGCATGTATAACCTGAAACTAATAATAAACATCAAAATAGACAGCCCTCCACAAAAACAGGTGGAAACTACATATTCAAGTCAAGACCTTGATTTTTTTTTTTTTAGATAGAACTTTGACATTTTTTAGATAGGGAAGTGTATTCTTTTAAAAACAAAAACAAAAAAAATCAATGCTGTGAAAAAGAAATAAAGATTACAGAAAGGTTCCCAATCAAGGAAGTCTAAAGCGTCATGTCATGCCAACTGACTGTATAATACCTAGCCCTCGTCTGGATCCACGGCAGAGAGCTGAGATGCTTTGTAGCATATTTCTAGTGTTAGATGACAAAAGCAGAGAGCAGGCAGTACATTATAGTTGCAATATTAAACTTACTGTAGTTGATTATAGTACAGTTAAGTAAAAACTTATCTTCAATCTTACAAAATACACTTTGGAACAGTTAAGAAAGCCAGGGTTTGATATGTAGCCAGTGTTAGAACATTTCCTTAACATGAACAGGCCTTGGACTTGCTCTCAAGCATGCAGGCAACTGGGGGCGGGGGGTGTCACACAGGTAGAAAATACCAACAAAGCTAAGAATGGAAACACATATTACTAGATTTTCTCTTATTCATACAATTTTGTAAGCTTGAAATTGTTTCTAAATAATGTACTAAATGTGCTTTAAAACTTCTACTTTAAGTATGGAAACATTTAATTTAAACATTCTCAAATAAAGCACATGCCTTCCTTTCATGATAAATAAGTGGCGAATGGGACCCAAATTAACTGTTTAATGAGTCACCTAAGTATCCTTTTATTGTACTGATCACACAGCTGGTCTAGACCAGGAGCAGGAAATCAACACAACATCCAGGCTATGGTTCCCACTTGTGTGCTACATACTACTAATCACAGAAATCTGCATTGCCAGCCTGATCCATATGAGTGCAGTTTTTTTCTAATAAGGTAGATAAAGAACTCTCTCTCTCTCTCTCTCTCTCTCTCTCTCTCTCTCTGTGTGTGTGTGTGTGTGTGTGTGTGTGTGTGTGTGTATCGGTACACATCTCTGTGCACACTCAGAAGCCAGAAGGTATCAGTGTCCTCCTCTATCACTTTCATTTATTCCTTTGAGACAGAGTCTCTCTCTAACCCTGGGGACTGTATTTCTCATGTAGATTGGAAGTCAGCAAGCCCCAGCAATCCTCTTGTCTCCACCCTTCTTGGGGCTGGAATTACAGGCATGTGTAGGATATCTGGCCTGTAATATGGGTGTCAGGATCCAAATTACAAGCTACTTGTCATGGTTGTGTAGCAACAAGCACTCTTAACTAGTAAGCTGTCTCTCTGGGACCCAGAACTTCTTTTAACTTAACTTCTGGCATAAATATACTCATATGATTCAATTTTTTAAAAAAGAAAAAGAGTAGACTGTGTACTGATCTTCTCCTTTTATTGTCTTCTCTGTTCAACTCTCTTCCCCTTAAGCAAGTCATGTTACTAATTCCCTCCTTTATAGCTTGGGACACACTTGTAGAAAAACTATAGTGACTTTATTCCAGGAATCTGAAACTCCTTTCTAAAATTCCACTTAGCAAATAGTTATTTTTCTTTTTTTTTTGCAAAATTCTGAGGTTGTAACTCAGAAGGACATAAAAATTAATGTTATTAACATTGTTTAAAAAAGAGGAAGAAAAAAAAACAGAAAAATCTGGAATGTATATTGTTTTATAAAACACCTTGTTTTACCTTTCTACGCTTATAATCACAGTTTTCACAAAGGCAACTATATCTCTTCTCAAGAATCATTAAAAACAAATTTAGCTATAGCATATGGAATTTTTCTAAAACTTAATATTTTAATCAAGGCTCAATATTTTGTTGTTTTTACCCTTTGGAGGAGTGGGGTTTGACATTGAAACAGGATCAGTACACAGTCCAAACTATTCTTGAACTAGCCTTGAATTTATTAGTTCAGGGTGGCCTCAGACTTTTGATCCTCCTGTCTCAGATTCCCAAGTCCTGGGATTACAATATGTGCCACCAAAAACAATCTAAAATATATTTTCTCAAGTGATTTTCTTGTCTCAAAATATATTCGGTCATTGTCAAAATTCTTTGTTTAGTCATTAGCATTTGGATATACTTCATAATAGTTTGAATAACTGGGACACAATTAGCAATTAGCTTCCATCCATTCAGAACTCCCAACTAGTGACACACAAGTTATTTTATTATCATCTAATAATGTGACTGAAAAATTTTTGGACCACTCTTTTTTTTTTATTACATCAGGGTTTTGATATACTTCTCTCTTCATGAATAGCTCAGTAAGCCAAAGACGCCTATCTCATAGTTCATGGTAAATCTTATTGGGCTAAATTTAATTGAAGATTGAGGGAGAAATACAGAAAACCCTTATTATTGTTTTTAAAGATTATATGCTGGCATTTTCAGAAAGTCATCTACTTGTATGATACTCTCTGAAAAAGCTATAAAGTATTCTACATTTGACTTTCATAGTAAGTTTAGCCTTATAATTCTTTCTCTGAAATGCAAGACAGCTTCCTAACAGCACAGGCCAGCTCTTTTAATTTACATTTGTATAAGAATAATAATTGCTTTTTCAATAATTGTAGGGCCAGACGGAGATTCTTACCATCTACTAAAGACTACTTTTGAAACAGTCTAACATCACTACAAGCATGATGTCTGCACGTGTCCATCTCATTTAGCTCTTGTTCTATATACAGACACTATGTTTTAAGGAGGAGGGACAGAGGAGGAAGAAGGTAAAAGCAGCAGCAGCAACAGTAACAGCAGCATGTACATTTTCTGGCCACTCAGTGGAGCTGGAATCTCTGCTGAATATTTTGCATAATTCTTTTAATTCATCCTCACAGTAAAAGGCTACTACTAGATCCATTCTGTAAATTAAAAGCTTCAGCAAGGTCAAGTAACTTCCCCAAGGCCACGCTATTAAGAAGCAGAGATGGTGCAGCTGGGGAGATAGCTTTACATATGCTGTCTAACACATGTAAACCCCCATGCTTGAACCCCAGCACAACAAGCCAAGAGCTGGGTAGACATTTCATTCCAGACCCTATATAATCTTTCTATAACACACCAACTTCCATTATAGATACCAATTTTTTTTTCATTTTTTCTCAGTCACAGAGAGGTTTTTGTTTGTTTTGATTTGGTTTTTTTTTTTTTCCCCACCTACAAGAACAGCAATGAGACTTTTAAGGACTTTAGAAATTGTATCATATGTATATCCTCATGCCCCTCTTTCTTCTTCCTCCAGCTCCCTCAGCCCTGACTGTCCTGGATCTCACTAGGTAGACCAAGCTAGCCTCAAACTCACAGAGATCACCTGCCACTGGCTCTTCCCACTCCCACCCCCACCCCATCCTCTGCTGAAATGAAAAGGCATGTGCCACCATGCCCTTTTCTGAGCCAGAGCCCACATCAGTCACATACTCAAGACCTTCTAGCCTTAGCCTGCTGACCCTGGAATAACAAGCATATGCCACCATTCCCATCCAATTTTTAAAAAGACTTACCGTATGTGAGCGTTTTGTCTGCATGTGTGCATGTGCATTGTGTGTGTGGTTACCACAGAGGTCAGAAGAGGGCACTGGGTGCTTTTAACCATTAAGCCATCTTTCCAGCTCATTCTAATTTTTTTTTTTTTAAGTTTTAATTTCTTTCTGTTTCTGGGCTTTAGTTCAGATAGAGTTGGCATTTCTAGCCATCGCCTTTCTTTTGGCCAAGAAACTTACTCAAATCTCAACACATCTCTGTCTTCTCCCTGGTACAGACATTAAGAATTTAGTCCTGGGGGCTGGGGAGATGGCTCAGAGGTTAGAAGCACTGGCTGCTCTTCCAGAGGTCCTGAGTTCAATTCCCAGCAACCACATGGTGGCTCACAACCATCTATAATGAGATCTGGTGCCCTCTTCTGGCATGTAGGTGTATATACAGACAGAGCATTGTATACATAATAATAAATGAATCTTTAAAAAAAAAAAAAAAAGAATTTAGTCCTTTGAGGATCAAGTGTATCCAAAGTATGTGACACTGAAAGACATCACATTTCTGGACAAGA